GGATTTTGGTGGGATGTTTAAAATTATTCAGATTTATGAGCGTTATGATGGTGCAAACAAAATGCAAATTGAACAACGCTGAGTTATTCCTCAAATGTTTCTATCTTCAGAGCAAAGAAATTGGAAACAAAAAGTACTACTAAGAAACAAGAGAACTTGAAAATGGCAAAGTGAGATTTTGCCTGAATATTGACGTTAGAAAGGAGAAGGACTGCTCATGGCTGAATGTGATAAAAACAAAAATTGCCTTCGTAAAAGGCCGACTGAAGTTTAGCAGCAAGAGTAAAACAGCAGCCAATGTTCACCTTATGGAATCTCATTTAGGTAACTGGCTGAAGAATAACCATATTACTGTAGATAAAATATATTACCTTCGCATTCTGCTTGTACCTGGCTTTTATTTACAAGTTTGAGTTTCCAAACTTATTTCTCAACTGCGTTAATCATTGAAGGAGCAAAGACACTCTGGCATCAAAAGAACTAGCCACAGCATTTTATAAATTTGAGTGAACAGCTCGAATTCATATGAAAGGTTTTCAAAAATTATGAAGTTAAAATTTAAAAAAGTCAATTTTCTTTGTTAATATGACTCTTCTCCTGAAGCTATTGTTCATTTAGTTCAAAAGCCATTGCTTACTTGTAAAATGAAACAGAAAATTACACCCGTCGCTCTCCAGAATTTTGTAGCAACGTGCTAAAATTAGACCTGAGCGAATAAGCGAATCAAATGGGATCATTGGTCGTCGCTTGGGATTTGTGATTGGCAGGCTGAACACCTGAGCCTTGTTATATAGGATCACTCCATGTTTAAGCATGGTTTGCAAAGCAGCAGTGCTTTAAACATCCGCAATGATTTCGATGACATAGAAGTAGTTCAGAGCTAGTGCGTAGGCGAAAATTGGCACTTCCGCAAAGTAGTACAGGTTTTTCAGTATTTAGGATATTCGTATTTATCATACTTATCATAATTGTGCCGATTTCACTTATTTTCTCTTATTTTCTCTTATTTTCGCTTAAGCAGACGAGAGATGTACGGGTCCGCATATGATTCCAGGACAACAAATGATCCCGGACCGCAAATGATCCCCATATTGGACCACAAATGACCCCAATCAAAAGATAAGAAATGGCATGGATTTATATCAGAGGAAGGTGAGAACATGTACAAAAATTATGAACTAAAAAACATGTTTTATCATTGTACAAAAAAATATTCCACAGTTACTGTTTTGTCCTTTCAACGGTATAGATCGTTTTCACTGTCACGCAATAAAAAAAAATAATAAATCGAAAACCAACCAATGGAAAAAGCTAAGAAATTGTGATGTATGCTGTAGAAGATAACTAAATAAGACACTTCTCCAAGTCTTATGCCTGTGCATTTCCCCAAACTTCAGAAATTTGTCGTAAATGTTTCCCAGAAATTTACAGAGCCCAGTAAGAAAACACCATGTTGGTATACATCCGTGGTACACCAATATTGTGGCCGGAATAAAGTGTAAACATCTGGAACTTACTTTGGCTTTCTAGGTAACTGATTATCAGTACTAAACAAACAAGTATTTACATAAGCACTTTTCCTAATGCTCTAACTTCTAAAAAGGCTCAAAGTCATGAGATAAGTATACATTTTTCAAGAAACTTGATCGTAGCCTTGTGTTACACAACCTCCATAACCCTGAAATTCAAAATGCTCTGGTTTCCAAACGAAGCATGCTAATTGTAAACAGATATAAGATATAGATATAACAGATATAAGATATACTGCCTCTTATGCCTGATGAGGATAAAAACACGTCACGTGAAGAAGACCTATTGAATTAGAAGTCTTGGAAAAACACATACTTGTAAACATTCTCGAAATCCCAGTGGCAATAGTATCAAACATCTACTAAACAGCTACCTTGTCAAAACGAAATGCAAGCCAAGCAAGAAATGCAAGCCAAGTCGTGTTTTGATGATTGAGTGGCGAT